TATTAAACTTTTCCCCCCAAAGCGACACAGTGTGTGTGTGTGAGTGTGTTGGTGTTTTTGGGTTGGAAATCCCCAAAGTTCCTGTGTCATTTTTTTGCGCTTCACGTTGCTCAAATTTTTTGACAGGCCCCGTCAGAGGGTGAGTTTTCCTAGAACTCTACATCCTTATAGGGTATTATAATTTGAGTCAGAAGCTTGCAAAAGCAGAGAAGGAGTCATTTCCGACCCCATAAATCATATATATTCAAGATCGGCATCGAAAACTAAGTTGATCTAGCCATGTCCGGAGGAAAACTAGTTTTTAGCCATTTTTTTTTAAGTTTTGTCGTTAAAATCTTTAAAATTTTCAAATATTTATAAAAATTTGAACTTTAAATTTGGTACGCATATTTGTTAACCCAATAAAAACTAGCATATAACTGCTTTCCGAATTGGAATTAATGGTTTTTTGACTAAGTTACGATAATTTAAAATTAGACCCCTAAACCAATTACTAACTTCAAGGGTATACAAACTTCGGCTAACCTAAGTAAACTTTCTTTCTGGCTTTTTTTTTAGAAAAAATCTTCACGCATTTGCCAAATTATCTTTTGATCCGCCCGCTTAAATTGCCCGCAGCGCAGAAAAAATAAGAATAAGCTAAAATCTAATTACTCGACTAGAAAATACCTGGTATTTAAGAGAATTGTTGAATAAAGCTTTTTAATAAAAAATATTTATAAAATACCATTGAGTATAAGCCTTAACAACCTTGGAAACAGGTAAATGATGTTTACTTTGATATAAAAATGTACATATATAAAATTAAATAATAAATATTTTCGATTATATAAAACTTCATTACTTATATTCTTATCAAGACTATATTTTGTCATGCATAATGACTTATGACTTATTATATTTTTTTTTAAATGAAAATTATAATAACGAACAATTAGTAAACGTTTATAGCCGTCCATTTCAAACATTGCATAATTAGTTATTTAAATGTATGACTATCCCCTAGTTCCTTTCTAAATATATATCATTATAGGTATCATCTTTTCTGTTAAATATTTAAACAATATACCCCTGGCACTCTATTGAGTACCTTGGGTATACAAGAATCCTGAGCAATGCCAGAGGAAAATACGTTAACACAATTTCACTTTGGTTGGACACATCTAAGCCGGGCCAATCGTCTGCCTAAGTAGTTGCTTCCCACCCATCGCACCACCCACCACCGCCCACCGCCCACCGCCCACTGTCGCTCTTGTGCCATCGAAAAGTAGTTTGCGCGCAAATCCTCAAGTTAAGCAAAACTCTCCAGGACATTAAGTGCAGCGCCAACAGACAACAAAGTCCAAGGATGCCAGAAGTTTCCCCCGCACTTTTTGCCCCGCTGGCAACTGCCAAACGGATGATGGCCGGGATCAACGTTTTACGAAAGCCAGGGCAAAAGTTTTTCCAGTCAGCCAACGTGCAACTTTTTGGCCAGCAGCGTTAGAAGTTCTTTTCATTGTCTTGAACCCCACTGACAGCTGCTGGAGGGAAGTTCGAGGGGTACGGGGGATACTTGGGTATTTTTTGCGGGGTGGAAACTGTCGCTTATAATGCGCACAATGAAGTGCACTTTTCATACTCGTACTAGCCAGAATTGAAAAGTGCTCAACGTTGACTCCTCCCTCTGGCGTAAATATTTCCATTTTATGTGTAAGCAAGAGAGATTTTCCAGGCAATCAACGCGAATCACAATGAGTACATCTGACAGTGCAGCAATAAAAAATGCATTTAAACAGCAGAGAGTAAAGGTTGAGTTAAGGAGGAGGTATGAAAGCTATTCCTCACTTGAAAATATTAGCATTTAACAATAGATAAATATTTAAGAATGTATATCTATGGTGAATCAGTAAGAGAAATGATTTAAATACAGTTTACAGAGTTACAGAAGTTTTTGTATTTTTAATAACAAATTTTTCTCTATCAAAATATAACTAATTTCCATTGCTAAACTCTCCATATCATTTATAATTTGTAAACATTATTTCTCTTTGTGCAAAATGGTTATGGAGATGCCCTGGCCAACAGGCAAACACTTGTTGCAAAAATTTGTTGACTGTCGCTTAAATTTATGACCCCAAAAAAACCCGAGGACCACAGCCAGCCGCAACCAAAAGGATTCGAGCTTGCAGTGCAAGTTTTCCTCCACTCCCTGTCCCTCTATCTAACCAACAAATTATCAAATAGCAAAGAGAGATAAAGACCGGGGGAAAAGGTCTGAAAATCGAGTTGAACTTGGTAAATATCAAAACAACATTAAGGCACGAGGGTAACAGCAACAGAAGGGCCAAAAGGATTGCCCAAGCCCCATGGTCGCTGAATGCCATCCATGAGTTACAACTTAATTGAAACCAAGTTCGTTTTTTTTCCCTTCTGCTCCAATGGTTTTTATTCGAAGGAGACCCCAAAGAGTCGTCTTCTCGCCTTGCCCAGTCACGATCGGAACCTTTTGTGGCACCTTTATGTGTATTTTTTTGTATTATTTGTACTCCTTAGTTGTTGCCTAATGCACGCCTGAAATATGTCCAGGCGTTAAGTAGTTGTGATCGTGAGACAGTGGAAGAGTTATGTTGTATTAAAGATATGATATATAATATATAAAATATAAAATATAGAGAAAATAAATATGAAAACTATCTAAAAATACATTTCATGAGCATATAATCTTCTTAGAAATGTAAAAGTATTCAGGCAACACTTTAACGGCAAAGAAATGATTATATTTTATGTAATTCCTTTACAATAAATTGTAAATTAGTCAAAAATGAAATATAGAAATGTAGTATGAATATATTTTTGTATTTCTTTAAGGTAGAAAATTTTTAAATTTATTTTTACATTTATTTGGAAAACTTCTCTATAAATAACCCTTCACTGCCTAAGGCTTTTACCTTATTTTCGATTATTTAAACCACTGTCGGCGACTATTTATGGACTATGCAAAATGCAGGCAACACAGAAGAGGTAGGAAAAGGTAGGGGGGAGATGCAAAAAACTAAAAAAAAAGAAACCTAAGCAAAAATAAACTCGTATGCATTTAATCATCGTAACTTAAGCTTGGGGATCATGTTGTGGCACAGTGAGAATGCCGCAGTTGCCGCCGCGGGAGACGCCGCGCCAGCTTCAAGCCAAACTCCAGCTTTAATTCTTCCCGCCTGCCCCCCCTCACCACACCTATGCCCTGACCGCTTCATTTTTAATAAAGAAAAGAAGCAAAAAAAAAATATAAATAAAATGAGAGAAAAGAGGGGAAAACTTCATGTCACCGTGGCTGTGGTGGTTGCCTTCCTTTTCTTTATATTTTACGTTTCTTTTTTTTAAGGCGCGTTCGTTTTTTATTTTTTGCACCGCCAGAAGAGAGTGGCGGGAGAGGGGGAGGCTGGCGGGCAGGGGATTAAGACGACAGAGTGGCCACTGCGGAGTGGTGCTATGAATGGAGCCTCGGCGTGTTCTGGAGATTAATAAATTGATGGCATCCATTGCACATAACGTGTAACTAATGGCGCTCATCAATTCTGCTTTACATCTCAATCTGGCTTTGGCGAAAAAAAAACATCCAAGAGGGCGAAAAAAAACCACAGCATGAAAGGAAGGAAGGATGTAGATCCTGGAAAGCTCCTCGGATTCGGTAATGACCCAGGAGCAGGTCAGCTGGCGGGCCGAAGGACTCGCCGGCAGCCACTTGAGGCCAGCTCTCACTTTCTCCCGGGAAAAAAGTGAAAGTCCAATGGTTTTCTATATTTGGAAAGGACTCGCCTTAGTACCAGTTTCCCTTGAAAGGACTCTCTCTCTCTCTCTGGCCACTTATGCAACACATCCTTTGGCAACACATGCAGCCTGCGTGCTCTAGTTGCGAGCTCTCATTAGTCACGCCTTCGGGTTTTTGGCAAAAACCTTTTTCTCGGGCGCTGCCAGGACTCGGAACGGGTCCGAACCGAAAGGATCGGAATGGGTCGGCACTATTGTCAATTTGCATTAGCAGGGAAGACCGCCTTCTGTGCTCTGCTCTGCTCTGCCGGAAAATCGGTGAACACCGGTGAGCAGCATTGAGCACCTCTTCCGCCCAAAAAAAAATAAAAGAAAAACCTCTTTCATCTGCCTGCATTCATCGATTTTCAGATCTCTGGGGAAGTTTGCAAATTTGAACGAATGTCAGGTATCGGAGGGTGCCTTCTGCAGATGGATTACGCCTAATGTCAAGCAATTGGCCAAGGCAATAAAGTGAAATTACCCGGACGTGTCAAGGACGTGGCAGGATTGTAAGGATGCCAAAAGGGAGAGCGGGAAGAGTTTACAAGCGAAATTTGCATAGGATTTTGCAAAATGCAAAGTTGAAAAGTTGCTTAAAGATTCTTTAAAAATCTAGGAACTTCAAGCTTTGAAAACTATAGGTTTTTTAATTTAGTTTATAGTTATTATATAAAATATTATATTTTATAAGAGATAAGTAGCTAAATAAATCGTTTTACTTTTTAAAGATTAAAAGTAAATGTATTAATCGTTTGTTGAACGATCAAAGGTCTCTTAAATTAAAAAAATATATATATATTTAATTAAAATAATATAAGAACTTTAAATTCAAATATTTAGTACATTTAGAACCCTCTTCCTTGAATTCTTTTAGACCTAACTGCTTGACTCCACTGCTTTGACATCGATCGTTCAGCAAGCAGTGAAAGCCAAGCAGTTAACACTTATATAATTAATTTCAACTGCTTGTCCACTGCTTCCCTTAGCGAGGTTCGCTTTAAAAGTTCTTAAAATTCACATAAATACCAATAATTTTTAGTGACTCTTGTTGTTTGTATGTTTTAAGCACCGTTAAAATTTTGTAAAAAAGGGAAAACTACAATCAACTCTAAACGGGGATAACTAACTACTGCAACCCACTACGATAAGAAGAAGAAAAATTCCACTTAATACGTTTCGTGGAATTATCGATCACTTTCCTTGACACTTACCAAACTGACTTCGCATCCAGGGATACAGTGGTGACGGCATCCCCGAGGACTGCGAGTTCGGGTTTTGGGAAGGGGGCGTATGTTGGCCAGGATGGCCCTGATGCATCTGCGGCGGTCCCTGGCCCTGGTGCATCATGCCCTGGGGCGGAGCACCCACCGGGGGCACACCCGTCTGCTGTTGTCCGTACATGCCCATATTGTGATGATTTTGATGCACCTAAATCGGGGGGGGGGAGATATAATTCGAATTAGTTAAGTTGTTAATATATATATTTAGGTGAAATCCAATCACCACTGGAGGGGGGTTTATTAAATGTGAGATTAAGTTAAGCGGTATGAGTAGGACTCGATCTTACCTCTGTCACGTCGGGAACTCCCACGTCCGTGTAGCCCAGCTGTGGGTGCGAGCAGCGAAAGCGAGAGTGAGAGAGATGGGGAAAAGCGTTAAGTGATAAGCGATTTAAGCGGGTGGACTAAGGAGTTCTTAAACAGAGCTTTCTCTATGTGATATAAATCGAACTTGGGGTTATGATAATGATAACATTGTATCAAAGACAATATAACAAAAAGACTAGTAACGCTATGAGGACTCTTTATCCACAATTTTATGTATCTTTTATATAATATTTTTTAAATATGTACGCTATTCAAATGTATATTTATCACGCATTTTATTGGTATATGGTTTTAATTCCTTAAAAATTTAGCAGAATTAAAACTTTTCTAATGTGTGGCTTGTAAAATGTAATGAAATGTAACGTTTTAACTATTGCCTTGAATTCTGGTATTCTCAATATGAGAATAATAATTAATTTTAAGGTTTTAAAAAAACATTTTTGCTTTTAAGTTTCTACTTCTAATTTAGATTTTATGTGAGCCAAACGATGATGAATTATTAGAAGTGTCAAAGAAATATCTAAAGGTTTTAAATAAATTAAAAATGAGTCCTTAAGTATGAATTTAAATATATTAAGCTCCGAGTTAAGTATAACTTTTAACCCATAACAACTTCAATAATCTATATACCCCACTTATACAACATACCCTTCACCCTTAGTGCTACCCTGTCATCCTGCTACTCACCTGCGCCTGCGGATGTCCCATGTGGTGGGGCAGCGTCATTTGGGCGTTCATGTGGTGGCCGGTCATTTGGTCAACCAACGGCGGGGATCCCCCCTCGGGCACCAGGCCCAGATTACCGACTGCTGCCTGCAGCTTGCAACTGGCATAGACAACCGGCTGCTGCTGCTGCTGCTGCGGATGTGTCACCTGTTGCGTCACCTGAGGCAATTGCTGCTGATGCTGTTGCGGCGCCTGCTGCGGCTGCTGATTCTGCGAGGGCTGCTGCTGCTGTTGCTGTTGCTGCTGCTGCTGCTGCGAGACCAGCTGACCGTTGGTCTGTGCCTGCGGCATGACCCCGCCCACCTGGCTGGAGGGGCTGTCTGGGCGGGAGTAGACCTGATGCTGCTGCTGCTGTTGCTGCTGCTGCTGTTGGTCCATCCCCTGGCCGTTGTAGTAGGGCATGCGATCGTAGGGCGGGAAGCGCGGGTAGGGCATGTTGCCCTGATGATTGGGATTCTGGCTGTAGTGATGCATCTGCTGGGCATCGAGATCGGTGACCCCGTTGCCCGGATAGTGGCCATGGTGCATGTCCGCCCCCATGTACGAGTTGGTAAAGTACGACGTCATGCTCTCGCAGTTGTTTGTACTCATCGTCATCGTGGCGGCTGCTTCAGCGTCCGCTGACCCCGCCGCTAATCCTGATCCTGGCGTGAACGTGATCGTGACTGTGACTCTGCTTAGTGTCTAGTGACTGTGGTGCTTCCCCCGTCTCCGTGCTTTTAGCTACTTTCCTTATATACAAAGTAAACTGAAAGGAAAGTCTTAATTTTATATACTGAATTATAATCTTCATTTTGCGGACACTCACCTAAATAACCTTTGAACACTTAAGTACAATGTACAGTTGCGTAGCCTAATCTTAGTTAGTGTGTAGTTGTTGTGTGAGGTATAAAATGATTTCCGCTTTGCTGTTCCTCTGTTTGCTGTCTTGGCCAAAAACGACGAATTGAATCTGCGCTCCTCGTCTCTTGTCTCTTGATTTGGTGTAGAAAAATCTCTTCTCCTTGGTGTCCGTTGATCCTTAAGTAGCCTTATCCTCTAATTGGTATTCCTCAATTTTGATTTTGAAACTCTGCAAAATAATTGAAAGCGAAATTTTGTGGTTATTGCTGTGTTCTCAGCTCAGAGTTATGCCTTAAAGTGAAGCTTGATTTTAGGGGGTTTTTTGGCTTCTGTCTGATTTCATATGTTGCCTAAACTGAAAGCAACATGTGGGGGCATGTGAAAAATTGTTTATTGCATGCTTCGACAAGTTCTTAAAAATATGTCAAAGAAATTGGGAACTTTGAGAAAAAGGGAGAAGAGCGGTGGTTGTATCCGTTCAAAGTCAAGTTTTGTTTCAAGATTTCCGACTAGGTGGCAAATTTTGTATTTAAATAAAATTCTACATGAAATTATGGCAGTTAAGTACAATGATTTATCATTAAATGTGGCTTCATAATCATCATATTTAATAGACATGGTCACACTTGCTAGGATAATCATCACCTGGCAACCCTTATAAGCCAAGCAAACCCCTTATTTTCTCTTCCCTCCCTGTTAGCTTTTAAGCTTATTGAGCGAATTCCACAAGTCAAGGCAAGATGCCATGACTGCAATGTTACTGCTTTCCCCTTCAAAAACTTTTGTAATCCTCCAGCCAAGGATCTTCCGCTGGCATGCAAGTCCCCCCTGTCGCCTGACATGCCTGACAACATTCATTGAATTTATGAATATGAAATCAATTGTGTTATCCCCTTTTGACCTGACATCCTTCCGGTCAAAGTGATTTAATTTCCTGGCTCATTATCACGAGTCTCTGACCTCATAAATCACAAAATATTCCCCCCTCTTCGAATAATCCAGACAGACAGACAGAGAGAGGGAGAGGGACACACGTTACATGCCAAAGGCAAGTGCAGTCATGTGTCTGTCCTGCTCTATCCGAATCTGTGGCTATGGTGACAACCCTGCCGAAAAGACCCCCGACTAACTAACGGTAACTTGCTGTCGGAAATGAAACTTCCCCCGACTTGCCACAGGGCACAAAAAGCCCTGGGAAAACCACAAAAAGAAAACAACATGTACCACCGGCAAGGAAAAACGGCGGCAGAATAATAAAATAAAGAGAATGGTAAACTTTAAAATATTTCACAGTCTTGCATCCCGTGTGTCCATATCCCCCCGACCCTTTTCCGCACATTTGCATTGTGTGTTCTGCATTCTCCGCTTTTCCTGCCCTTCCTGCTTTTCCCGGCATTTTGGCCTTTTGTTAACGAAATAATTTTCTTGCCTCCATCGTTGCCAAAGCCAAAAGCTTCCCTTTCAATTACACACATTTCCCAATGATGGCGATTGAGCGCGGGAAAATTGGGAAGGGCGAAGGGTGGGGAAATGGCGCGAAAGGACAATGGCGGCAGCGGCGGAAGGAAGTGTGTGTTTGTGTTTGTTTTCTATGTGAGTGTGTGTATGTATGTTGGTGTCCTTGTCGAGGGCCAAACGGATGCTGGCAAATCGCTGGACTGTGCCCCGATCTGTGCCTATACCAGAAGGGGGGGAATAAGGAGAAGGAGTCTGCAGGAGGCTGGGAGCCTTGGGGCAGGCAAAGAAACTCACTCAAGCACAAGCGAGATGATAATAATGTCTGATGTGTGTGTTTTGTCTGTTCTTCCTGTTTTTGCCCGCTGCTGCGGTTGCGGGGGAGCTGCCCGCCCTCAGCTCCCTGTATGATTTATGTGCGTCTGATGTGATTTATTCAGGCGAAGAAATTGCTAAAATTTGATTTGCCATTAAAGATTTTGCAAAAAATACTTTAATTGCACTTTAATTATTATTTATGTTTACTAACTTCAAATTATATTAAATGAAACATAATTTCAAACCAAATTTTTTGAATACCAAAAATCATTGGAACCCCAAATAGCGCCATCTAGTGGAAATGTCAGGAACTAATCTCCAAAATCTGACACCCTGTCAATTTCGACAGGCTGTCTACATGCATTTCCATCAAACGCCTGAAAGCAGGCTACAAAAAATGGAAGGAAATGCGTGGCAAGCCTTTGGCAGAGGGCGCTACCGCGTGAGTAGTCAGCAGCGCCATCTAGAAGTTAATCAGTAATTGTCAGGTTCAAATAAAAGTTGACAGGTGTCCGTCAAAGGAAATTATATCAGCTACTTTTCGATTCATTTGATATTCAGGTTGTATCATAATTAATTTGATATTTTAATGGATTTAAAAAATATATGGATACTATTTTACAAGCTCTTTAAAACATTTCAATGTCATAAGATTTGTAGTCAGCCTGACTATACTAATATTAAAATGATAATGATAAATTAATAAGGAATTGTATATAATTTATATTTATATACTTCACCATCACATAACGCCTGGTAAAAACAAATATATATTTTTTTAAATTAATTATATGTATATAAAAAAAATAATAAAAAGGGATTCAAAATTTAAATGAATCAACTGCTAGAATTCGTATATCCAGACCTGGCTCGCTTTTAATCATAATTTTATTAATTATTTTACATTAATTTTGTTTATTTAATTTTATTCCGAATTTGCTTAAAATTTCCCTGCCTTATCCCACTGTACATTGCTCGAGCATTTAGTCAGGACAACAACCATAGTTTTAAGCCCCGCCCACAATACAAAACAAAAACCATAGTGAGAGTTAAAAGTTATTAATAATTTCTATAAAATATTTAACTAACCAAACTAAAAAATTAAAAATTTCAATGAAAATGCATTTAAAAAAAAAACAGAATAGAGAAATTGCTAATATTAAAACTAAAAACCGAAAAAAAGTTAGGTACTTGAAAAGTAGCTTAATTTATTAAGCTCAACTATTTTTTCCCTGAAATTCTTCTGTTATTTTAAGTTTTTTTATTGATCCAGCTTTTCCTCAGCATCACTGACCATACACATGTCCCGTTACCAGTCTTAAGCCACACACATCGACAGTTCAGGACGAGGAGAAAGGAGAGGAAAGAGAGAGAATAGGAGACGATGTCTGGAAAGTGAACGGGAATGGCAATTCATCATTTCACGCACACAAGCGGAGAATTTAGCCAGAATTCGGTTAATGAGAACATCAACACTCGCCGTCGCACTCCCACGCATGCGCCATCCCTGTCTAACCAACGTGCCGACCACTGAACGGAAACTGAACTGAAATGGAATGATATGGAATGACTTCTTTCTTCAGCCATCAACTTCAGCTTCGGCCATTTTGATTTACGACGACCATGAACCATCTTTGATTTAAATCTTAGAAAAATCCAGGGATAAGTAAAATATCCTCATTTTAAAATTCATCCAAATGACAACCCAGGCTTCTTCATTCTTCTCTACTTGTTCTTACTAAATTTTTTGTTCATTTTGTGCTGTTAGACGAAGGCGTCGCCCCCGTCAACTGTCAGTTCGTGTTCTCGTTCTTGTTCAAGCCGCTTTTGTTGTTGTTATTTTGTTTGTTGCCTGGGCTTCCCATTGTTGTTGGCGGCATCATTTGAAGCCAAAGAGGAAGCCAGCCAGCAGGGGCAACGGTAAACATATAGCTGGCCGCAGCCAGTTAGTGCGTTTCATCTTCTTCTTCTTCAGGTGGCACAGGGGGCGGCGCAACGACTCGGGTGGATGATGTCTCTCAATTAAAGCGAAGTCGAGGAGAAGCGTTCTGCTCGGCTGCCCCGACCTCTGCCTGCGGCTTAAATTGCTGCTTTGCATTTTATTTAAATAATAATTGGCTTGACTAAGTTTTCACAACAGTAGTACGAGAGAGTGTGGTATTCTTTGGCCTTAAAAATCTCTCAAGGTGTACAAAAGAATACGCTCCAATTAGGGGCAAGACTTTAAGGAATGAGGAAATTTAATTAGTGTGTCTTCCCAAAAATATAAATCAAAGATAATATCAATCTTATATATAATTAACAAGGAATTATAAGATGATTTTGAACTGAAAAATTCTAGAGAATTTTTAAGATATATCTTTCTAGATATACAAACAGTTTCCCTTACTTTCTTCTCCTGGGAATGTTATATTTACTCCCGTTTTCAATCTCGCAAAACCTAAGAAATGACCTTGAAATCAAGCCCATTTAAATCCATCTCTTTTCAAGAATATATTTCAATATAATCACCTGAAGAAAAAAAAAGAGGCACCGAGCACGTGCTACTTCAAGGGGGGACCAAAAAAAGAAATGCCAGAAGAGTTTATTGTGCCATCAACTAAAAGAGCAAATAAAATTTTATTACCACTATAAATTTCAGGCACTTGAAGAGAGGCGCACCAAAAACGGAGGCAAACGCAAAATATCAACAACAAAATAAAGCCTGAAAAAAAAACTGAAAAAAACCCTACAAAAAAGGAACAGAGGCGTAGGCGGGAATATAAGAAGGGTATGTATACAATAAAAAATACTATGTAAAATATTATATATTTATATTTATATTATATAATATATTATATATATTTTACTATATAAAGAACTCTTCTGTTAAAACCCCCTTCGCATGCTACACCCCTGGCTTTCAGGCCATGGTCAGGTTCTGGCTTGAGCCTCCAGGAGGATAAACCCACGCGATTTGGCGACGTCGAACAGACAGAGACGCCAAGACCAAGAAACAGGGGAAGTAGAGGAAATGCAGAATAGGGAACAAGGGGCAATAGGGGGTTAAGAAGCGGCGGCAATCGATGAGGGGGGATCGGGAACTGAGGCCTGCATTTTTCTCACATTTATCTTGCTGCGAGTGCTGCGTTTTATTGCGATTGGAAATTGAGCTTGTCAACGCGGCAGAGGCATCGGCATTGGCATCGGGCAACGCATGGCTAGTCATCGAAAACCACCAGGGGTGTGGGAGGGGTCCCGGTCCTCCAAGAAGGAAGGGGCGAAGGTGCAGGGACAGATGGTCGAGTTTTGGGTTCCCTGGCTTCCAGAGATAATAATAAAAATGTCAGGCTTTGACGATCCTTCTCGTTGTCGCTCGTCGTCGGTTCATAAATAAAGTGATGCACTCAGAAAAATAAAACAAAGGTTTCTGGGAGAGTAAAAACATACATAATTCGGAAGCTAAGCTTAAGAAAA